GATCCGGTTTACGTCGGTCAACCATAATGGATCGTTCCAATGAATTTGTATATTCATTTTAGAGCTATTGCACACATTACACATGTATTTTCCGTTTATTTCTGTTTTCTTAGCATAGCAAATTTAAATTCTTGATCCAAAAACAGAAAAGCATATCAAATTTAAACTTCGCAACAACCAAAAAAAAAACCATAATTATTGATTCTTAGAAATTATTAAAATATAGAGCCCAACAAACATATAAAATTATATATTTCGGCTTTATGGGCTCAATTTATAAGTTAGTATTTTGTTAGGCATCGGCCCACTTCTGAGCCATCTTTCGTCGCACCCTACTATTTTCCAAATTCCAATTTTTACTTCTTTTCGGTTTTTGCATTTGTCAAAAGAATTTTCAATAGACAGCCAGTGAGACCAAGTCATGGTCAAGGTCCTACGAGGCACACTATAGAAGATATCTCCCAACTTAATTTGATTAGAGACATCCAGTTTTGGTCTTCAAAATACAATAGAACTCGATTTCTTCATGTAAAAAAAGATATTTTAATGTAGTTGCCCATGTTATTGCCTGCATAGTTCCGATCAAATGATTACGAACTAAACACGTTTTTAACACTTTTTTTTTTTTTGCTGAAGGATATATAACTTATTAATTAACACTTAGTAGTGGATAATAAAGAAAGAAAACAAACAAGCTACAGTTTATCATCAAATATATGGTCTGATCAATGCTTCACTAATGTTGAGAGATGATAAATCTTGTGATACATTTTTAAAACACTAAAATATTTATAAAAAGGTTTAAAGGTGCTAGATGGATGTTAAAAAACGATTTTTAAACGATACTAGGTATTTACCCGCGCTACGCAGCGGGATATTTTTTAAAAATTTTGTATATATTTTTAATATAATAAAATTATTTTTATAATATAAATTAATATTATATTTATTTTGTTATTAGCTTAAATTATATATTTGTATGTTTTAAATCTGAATAAACATTGTATAATCCTTAAAAAAAATTTCAAAATTAAAATTTTCTATCAAATTTGTTTAGCTAACTAACTATAAATATATATGTAAAAATAAAAATAATATATTTTTAAGTATTTTCATGCTAATGACAAATATAATCCATTTTCTCTCCTAAATTGCCACTTGATCTTCTTTTGAAATTATATAAAGCAAAATGTTATTTAAAAAAAATTATTAATGAATATGATTATTTTAAATTATAAAATTTATTTATTTATCAATTATTTATTATAAATATATGTTTCTAAAATCATTAACCTATAATTAATAACATTCATATCAAAATCATTGCTATTGCTTTAGAACTAAATAGAATATTATGTTTGAATTGTTGAAATATCGATTTAGTTAAAGTTAAATAATTAAATTTTGATAAATGTAAACATATTGTAACTTAGCATTTTAGCACAGAGAAATTTCATTTTCGTATAAAAATCAAGAAATCGTATTTCCCGTCAAAACCAAAACCTTCATTTTCCCATGAAAATTGAGAAATCGCATATTCCCGCTAAAAAAAAAAAAAAAACATTTTCTCGTCAAACCTAAAATTTTATTTTCCCACCAAAACAAAAGAATTGTATTTTCCCGCAAAAACCAAAAAATCACATTTTTCGCGAAAACTTGTGTTTTCTTACCAAAACCAAGAAATCACATTTTTCACCCCAAAAAAAAATCATCTTCCTGCAAAACCCAAAAACGTATTTTTTCGTCAAAACCAAAAAAAATATTTTTCATGCAAAAATTGAGAAACCATCTATTCCCGCCAAAACCAAAAAATTATTTTCTCGTCAAACCAAGAATCGCATTCCTACCAAAATTGATACTACAATTTCCCGCGAAAACCAAAATTGCATTATCTCTGGAGAAATTGTGTTTTTTCGCGAAAACTAAGGAATGGTAGTTTCTCACGAAAAATAAAAAAAATCACAATTTTTGTCAAAAACTGAAAATTTGCATTCTCATCAAAACCGAGAAATTGCTTATTTCCGCTAAAACCGAAAAATTTTGTTTTCCCATCAAATTGTGAATTTGCATTTTCCACCAAAATCTTCATATTACAATTTTCCTTGAAAACTAAAAAATCACATCTTCCTGCGAAAACCAAAAAAATTGCATTATCCGTCAAAAGTCAAAATTTTACATTAAAAAAAAATTTCATCTTCCTGCAAAACTCAAAAATCATTTTCCCGTAAAAACCGAAAAATTATCTATTCCCGCAAAAAATCATTTTCTTGTCAAACCAAGAATCACACTTTCCTACCAAAACCAATATATTACAATTTCCGCAAAAACCGAAATTATGTTTTCCCGCAAAAACTAAGAAATAGTAGTTTCACGCGAATACCAAAAAATCGCATTATTCGTCAAAAACTGAAAATTTGTATTTCCCATCAAAACCGAGAAATTACATATTTCCGCCAAAACCGATAAATTTTATTTTTCCATCAAATCAAAAAATTGCATTTTCTGCCAAAATCGTCAAATTACAATTTTCCGCAAAAACTAAGAAATTATATTTTTCTCACTAAAACCAAGAAATCGCATTATCCATCAAAAACCAAAATTTTGCATTTCCTATCAAAACCGAGAAATCGCATTTTCTCGTCAAAATTGAAAAGTAGCATTTTCCATCAAAACTGATATTATGTTTTCTAGTAAAAAAAAATTGTTTTCTCACCAAAACCAAAAATTCACATTTTCTCGCTAAACCCGAGAATTCGCTTTTTTGCCATAACCAAAAATTTATGTTTTCCTACCAAAACTGAAAATCATATTTTCCTACTGAAACCAAGAAATCTCATATTTTTGTCAAAACTGAGAAATTCCTTATTCTCGCTAAAGCCAAGAAAAATTGTTTTCTCGTCGAACCGAGAAATCATATTTTTCTAACAAAATTTAAAAATTCAGTTTTTCTGCAAAAATAGTCAAATTGTATTTTTTGCAAAATGTGAACCACAAACTTCCTCTATTTCCCCTCTTCTCTCTCATTTTCCATCTTCTCCTCATCTAAATTGGGTTGGAGAATAACATCGAAATTGGGTTGGGCTATTTAATGTGTTTTGCAAACAGCATTAGTGTGTGGGCTATCTAAGGCTATCTAATATGGGTTATCGAATGTGTTGATTTTGGATGATTTTTTTTTTAATAAGTTGTATTAATAAAATATTTTTATTGGTGAATTGATTTGTTGAAGTGTCATCCTAAAAAAATTCTAAAATACTGAGGTATCTCGACTAGGAGAGACACTTTGTGTTTTTGTTGTATCGATTTCAATACCAAATTTTGACAGATTATTAAAAGTTTATAATGCCTCAATACAAATCTATATATAGACTGTTGAGACGTCTGTTTATAGTCTAGAGATTTTTTTTGGTAAAATATACAGATATGAGAGTGGTGGGTCATTAAGCACCTATCAAATGAAATAGGAAAAGAAAGAAGCACCAACCAATAATTCGAATTAACTAATCCCTTTTCATTTTGTCGTTCCTGATAATATTGTGGGGACTACGATATTGACTTTTCTTTGCCTCTTAATTATGATAGTTTGATAATGCCATATAAAAATATTGTGACGAAATTCAAACTAATCATAGGAAATGAAAATTACCAGGCTTATTAGATTGAATCATTTTTATAAGCGGAGAGTTTTACGTTAAGAAATCAGTCCTATAATTTTTATGTTTACTGACACGTGTACACCAGATTTCACAACTCAAATTCGAGTTTCATAAAATCAAACTCCAGTCATTATATCCACCACTAGTCAGTATATTAGGTGTCTTCTTAATCTACATTTCAAACTGACTAGTGTGGAAGTGTGGCATGTGTATTATAATATTATATATTTACAAATTGTAAAACAAAATTCCACTCATTAGATAAAGCAGGTCGTATGAAGCTATATTTCGTAATTAAATTGTGAAAAATCCTCTCGTATGAGGTAGATCTATTAGAATTGAGGGTGATGTAATCATAAAGTTTTGAAATCACATTTTACTATCCATTGCATAAACATTGAAACTAACATTTTGACACGTACGTTAACTAACATTTTGACACGTACGTTACTTCTTTTTTAAACGTAAATATTAAGATCGTGGTTTGTATTATTGTCATTGTCATTATATAACTCAGGTCCAAATTTGGTTGTATGAGTGTTAAGAGTAAAGTCGTAAAGAAATACTCATAAGCTCTGTACATTTAGTTATATGTAATAAATATAATCAATTTAATTGTACAATTGTACGAAAGTTAGAAAATTAATACTAAATTTGATTAAAACTCCATAGTTTATAGTTTTTATAGTTAGGTTTCTTAGATCAAATAATCACTAACAGTAGAAAATCAATCACTAGAGTAATTTAGACGTTTAGTAGTTTCTTTCGTTTTCCAGATAACGTGGTGGAGTCGTATCGATTCTTCATAAGTCATAACAATACTTTATTGAACTTCCGACAACCGATCGTTTCCAATAATGACGTCATATATTATACTACGCCTTCGTTTTGAACCAAACGAACCAAAACCATAACACTAATAGTATAAACTGATTCAAATAAGATGATGATGGTCGTCATGAAAATTTGATTTGTCATGCCTCAGTTCTTAAGCTTAATTCATAGGCGGTTGGTTATTGTAAACCGAATATTAACCAAATGGTATCAATTTAATTAATTAATCCCCCAAAACAAAAAAAATCTACTGTTCAACAAAACTTGTCAGGTGGACTTTTGGTAGGGACATTGGCCACGTGAATTCAACATTTCTAAATTTCTACTCTTTTGTCCCTTCTCTTTCACAACTCTCTTTCACACACACCATCCAAATCCCAAACCAAAATAAACTCCACACTCTTTCTCTTTCTTTGAAAAAAAACCTCTTAAAGAAAACACTAACACAAACCAGCTAAAAGAAAAAAGAAAAAAGAAAAAAAAAAGAAGCTCCATCACCGGATCTTTCCAATGGAACCCGCCGCTTCCGGGTCACCTAAACCGGACCCAAACCCCTCATCCCCATCCACGTCAGCACCACCACCAAGCCGTTACGAGTCACAGAAACGCCGCGACTGGAACACGTTCTTACAATACCTAAGAAACCACAAACCGCCTCTAACGCTAGCTCGTTGCAGCGGCGCGCACGTGCTCGAGTTCCTCAAGTACCTAGACCAATTCGGAAAAACAAAAGTCCACGTGTCAACATGCCCTTTCTTCGGCCACCCGGACCCACCATCTTCTTGCTCTTGTCCGCATAAACAAGCTTGGGGATCTCTCGACGCTTTGATCGGACGGCTTAGAGCCGCTTACGAAGAAAACGGTGGACGGCCTGACTCGAATCCGTTTGCCGCACGCGCCGTTAGGATTTACTTAAGGGAAGTCAAAGAGAGTCAGGCTAAGGCTCGAGGGATTCCTTACGAGAAAAAGAAACGGAAACGGAAACCTACCGTTAGATTGGATGTGGATTTAACGAGGGGAATCGTCGGAGAGGGAAGTAACGGCCGTGATTCTCCGGCTGCTTCCGGCGCCGCACTTCCTCTAGGTTAAATAATTATTATACGTAATTTGCTTTATCTCCCTCTCTATATAAATATTATGTTATTTTTACCAGAAAAAAAATATCTATTTTTTTTTAAAAAAAATCATCTAGCCATAGAGGTCAGTTATTTTCTTAGTCGATCGTGAAAAGACATTTGTACGGACTATGGTGTTTCTATTTAGCTAAGTAAATGGACTCATTCTAGTTTTATAGTAAAGTTTTTTTTTTTAATTTAGAGGTTCATAGTAAAGTTTTTCCTCTTCGATGAATTATATGTACGTTGATATCTATTTTGGCTCTATTTGATTATTATTTGGTTGAAGAGGAGCTTTCATTCTTAACATAAAAAAATTGATTTTCGTCTCACATGCTTTATCATTATCCGAGATTATGTCTTGTTATATATTCTTAAGTGGATTTCGTGACAAATACCAATCCAATTATCAAAGTAATGAATTATGATATGGGCGTTGTGAATATGCCATCTTCCATACTAATTCATAGTTCCATTTACTTAAAAAAAAAAAATAGTTGGTCAAAGTTATAACTTATAAGCACCATATTTTCACTTTGCTCTCTGATAGTGCTTCTTCCAAAGTGAATATTTCAAATGCATCTCGAAGTGCTTTTTAAGTGGGAAATTTCAAATGCTTGAAATGCTAGCATTTGATTCTAGTGAATTTTTAATATTTTTTTATCATCTTAATGGATTCCTTTCTAATTTTTAATATATATGTATATATAGGGTTCGTTCTATGCAATATAATTATATAACTACCTTTGTTTCTATTGCGGTGAATGGTGAGTTATTTCCAGTTTCCAGATACTTTGCTAGGTCATAAGGCATTTGACAATAATATATGTGTCAATGTATTATTGTGATTAATGTCTTCTCAAAACTTTTTATCTTCATATGACGCTATGTATATTAGAGAAAATTTTATGAGATTTTGGGATTTAAATTTCACTTTTTTATAATTGTTAGATGATATCTTCATCTTTGTCAAGGGCAGAGCTATATAGATGAGCTTTTTTCGACTTCTCCAGATCTTAAAGGAGGGGTCATGGGTTTACGTCTTAATCAGGCTAAAGGCATATGCTTTTCTAGATGGATGCGATATGTCCAATCATCTTTATATTTTCATTTATTAATCCAAACTATATAATATTTTAAGTTTCCTTTTAATATATAGTGTTTTTATAGTAATGAGAAATGTTCCACTTTTAGTCTATAGGTTTTTAGATTGCAGAGCAGAAGTCAATTACAAGCGAAACCCCTAAGCGAAAAAAATAAATTAAATTTCACCATAGCACTGTGAAAAATTGAAACGTAAAGTTTCTAGATCAATTGAAGTAAGCAACGGCATTTATGTTATTTAAATACACTAAAAAGCGATAAACGTTAACTGATAGTTTAGCCCATTACTACAGTCGCATAGTACGTTTTAACCTTTTGATTATGCGAATGTACGTAACCTTAATCTTACATAGTTACATGATTATGTAAGTGTCGATTCAAATGTCGGTTGTATCATGATCAAACCACAATTCAAATGTTGATAACAGAGTTTGTGACTGATTTAGTACAATTACTTAATATAGATTTCAAAAGAAACAAAAACCGAGTTTCCACGGTATTGAAGCCTTGAAGGTACGTACGTGAATGCAAATACATACAGGCAGACACACGTGTACATAATTATAAATAGAGTTGCAAAGATAGTAAAAAAAGTCAGAAAAATAAAATGCTCGGCTACTATTTTCCGACCGACATGACTCATGAGACATCCTGTGGTTTTAGTACGTGCAAAAGGTCACACACGTGTGTGGTTCGTCCTTCTTTCACCATGTACGTTTTACATTTTTCACCTGTCAGGTGTTTTGCTTGCGTCAGTGGTCTGTCTGAACAAGTGTGTGTTTCGTTTTAAAGAGGAAATAAGGACAAAAAAATCCACATAATCGACAACCGGCTTGTCTTTCACTACATTGAACCTTTTGGAACGTTGTCTTTTGATATTGATTGGTTTGTAGTTCGTGAGTCGTGACCAATAATTTTCAAAATTTTTCTTTACACTTTTGATTTTATATTGCTTCAAAGTGTAATTTAATAGTTTTAAATATTAACTTTAACGGTAATGATTTCTTCCTCAACGCCTAACGTCACACAATCTTTTATCTTTTTGGGTAACCATAGGCACTTTTTTGCTGGTCACCACACGCACTATTATAACGCAATTTTATACTCTTTAAGTGTTTGCAAAAGAGACTAACGAACCATGCAAACGCGACTGATATAGAGAAAGAACTTTAAACGGAATTTTTTTAGTTCCACATAAAATTTCAGGCCAATCCTAACTCTTAAGGATGATTAATCATTTGAACGAGGCCATTGCAGTGCGTCGCAAACGAGGTAGAAACCGCTCGATTATGGGATAAACCCTGCATAGCACACATAAGCGTTGCAAGCTCTGCGTATAGTGTTCCTAGACTAAGATGGTGATGTCTCAGTCCGGTTCGCCCAGTCCCGGTCAAACCATATTCAACCTACGCCTATACTTGTATCTCCTCCTATCTTCCAAGGCCATCGATAAGACATATATAGGTTGAACATGGAGAAACAAGCCGCTGTTGACCTGAAAGAGTCGGTTCTCTCGCATTGTACCACGTCTTTTGCTTTGCCACAACATGCGCACGAGCCTGGCTGGATTATTTGGGATCCATGGATCATCTCATACGTTCGAACTCAGACCAGAATGCATCGGTTTTGCAGCTAGAATACTTTTCCATGACCCATCCATAAGACGGAGAATTCACTTGATTAGAAAGGCAGTAGTAACTTCCCCAAAGAACTCGGTTTAGCAGAGAATCCGGTTTATGAATTAATTAGTCTCCATAACTACTTGGTTAAAAGGGTTAAATGAGCTTTATGAATGTTTCGGAAACCAGCACCTCCATTGATTTTGGGAGTAAATCATTAAAAACAAGCAATATTGTATGTGCATATTCAAAGCCTCTTCTTACATATGCAGAACCCTATTTTTATAAAATCTGTCTTATCAATTAACGAACACAAAAATGAACATGTTTTTACCTAATACTTTAAGCAATCTACAATTTATCGTGTACATGCAAACGAACACTCGATTAAACATTAACACATCAAAACTGCATCAAGGATAAATATACAATTTATCACACAAAAAAAATGATAAATGTACAAGTACAACGTGACAATTATTGAGCCAAATTTCAGACAAAAAAATAACATAGACCTCTTATATTAGAAGAAATAAGTATATAATGTACTAAAAGGCATAACAAGGAGAAGAAGCAAACGCAGAGAAGGGCAAGACTAAGCAGGCGAAGCACTTGGAAGAACTAGAATGTGAGTCTTTCAAAGAGAAACCATTACCGTTTAAAAACACCGGAAAAGAATTAGGATTCCGATTAGAAAAGAAGATGGGATATACAAAATAAACAAAGGATAAAATTTAAATGTGACAGATTTAATTCATATCAGTTTCATATAAAAAAAAACAATAATTTCCCGAACACTTGTTTGGGAATATCGATATGGCCTTGAAGTTTCAGTACCGGTTCTTCTGAACAATGCCGATATAACTCCTGACGTTTAACAATTGCTCTGTAGATGAAGATCTAATGATTTATATTAGCTTTTGCAAAGAATGTTTCAATCTTGATTCTACATACCTTTTCTAATACACATAGAAAAACATCAGATGGTGATAGAAAGAAAAATCTAAGACCTGGTTCCTCATTGTACAATTCAAACCCTCTAGCTAAGCTCTATCGAGGCACACTAGAATGTTGACTATTGTTATGCGGATGCTGCAATGAAGTAAGCGGCTGTTGAGGAGGACAGTCCAAGGCTCCATACACCTGAAGTGTGTATTTAGATGATGTTAAACCACTAGCAGAACAGAGGAATCTTACAGAAGTTTTTTTTTCATAAGAAAAGCCCATCTTTGGATAGATCATTCGCGTTTCTTTAATTCTCACGCACCAACAACGGATATAAAAGTTTCCCTTAACATCTAACTAGTAAAGGGAAAAAGATTGCTATTTTGGGCTTTCCTATGGGCACAACTTTCCCCTAAGAACAATCATAACTTGGTAATGTCAATCATTACAAACAAGTAGACCAATCTTTTCCCCTATCCATCAACTTCCCATAGTAATGCTACAATAGGAGAAATCTTAATGGATAATCAAGTGAAACTAACTGTTTATCTACCAATATCTCATGTGTACCTGGTGAGAACCATTAGCTTCAGGGTATTGCTGGCCTTGGCTCCCATAAATATCATCTGAGTTTCCATTACTTGCAACCAATCCAGGGCCTTACATCAAGAAGATTCACAACGTTACAAGAAAGTTTTGCAGGTAAAGTTGTGAAAAGCTAGAAAAAAGAACAGAGAGATCATTACTTGGGTTTTGTTGAGCTGCCTCAGCAGCTGCAATGGCTTCTCTAGCTTTCGTCTCCAGGTTAACTAATTCTTCCCGAAGTTTCACAATTTCACGATTCAAGTGATCGATTGTCTTCTCCATACCGCGTTCATGGCGAAGGTTGCTCGCTCGTGTCTTCTTCTCAAGCTCAAGAGCAGCCCTGTTTCAAAGTCCAAACACAAGAAATCTCACCATCAGTCCAAAAGAGTCACTCAAAACAACAAAAGGGGAAATCAAACTCTCACCTTCCTTTGCTAACTTCTTCTCGCAGAGTCTCAATCTCCGCCTTGATCTCCGTGGCTCGTTCCGCATTCGGTTTAGCCTTAGCTATCTCGCCGTCAAGCATCGCCAGCTCCGTCGTTAGCTTCTGCCTATCTTCAGCTAGCCTCTGCACATCCGACCTAACCTGATCAAACTCAGCTCCGATCCCATTGACCACGCGAGCCTCCGCCTCCATCCTCAGCGAGTTCTGGTAAACCTCCCGGACCTTGGCTTCTCTATCCGCCTTAACTTTCGCGGCGGTCTCAAGCAGCTGAGCAAGCTCACGCTTGGCCAAATTGAGCTGATCCTTGACTCCGATGTGTGCCACAGCTAGCTTCTGGTTGTCCGCCAGAAGGGATTCGATCTCGCGGTGCTGGATAGCGATTTGATCCTCGAGGATCGCAGATCGAGTACGGTTCCTATCGGATTCCATCAGTTGAGATTCCGATAATCTCAAGGAGGAAGATGACACTGCCGACGACGGAAGATAACGGTCCCGGCCGGCCATTCTCAAAGTCTAGTCTCCGGTCTACAATCTCCGATTTTCTTCTCCAGTTGCGAAAGTAACCTCCTCGCTGATTGGTGTTCTTCGCCTCTTATTATGAGCGCTCGTTACTAAAATAAGCCGTATGCTAAAAATCTAAAATGCGCACCACAAAGACAGTCATGTTGTATCTCCACTGAGAGTCGTTGTAGCTGGACCCATACTGAGCCCAACCTAGGCCCATCAGTAGCTTCAGAATGAGAAAGTAAATAAGTGGATTTATTTGCAACATACAGTATTTACATAAAATTGACTTGTATTTATTCAAAATTCATTATTTGGAAATCGGAAGGTATAGTCTATAGTTCTTACACACTATTCATGTCCAAAAATAAAATTATAATAAGGTATAGTCTATAGTTCTTACACACTATGAGATATCTGATGTGAACTTGATCAAATTCAGTAGTGTCTCTGCACAAGGGATTATGAGACTTCTTTATTCATTACTTGTTTAGTAATGTCTCAACTTCTGCGCACCAAATTGTGTTCGCTAAAGTTATATTCACTTTCTCAGCCTTTTTTTTTTATTTATGCTGCAATTTTGTTTAGAGTAAATAGTGTTCCTTCTGTCTCTCTCCTGAAATATTTTGCTTACAATTTTTATGCCCTAAACCAAATAAAAAATATAGTTTAATATTTTTTTAATAGTTTAATATTTAAATTACAAAATCTTAAGAAAAAAAATTGTTTATAGACAATTTGTTAACAAAAAATACTACAAAACAGATAAACAAGGACAAAGAAAGAAGGATTGAAAATAATGGAAGAAATATAGTTCAACTTTTGATTTTTGGTGTACATGTGTAAGGAAAAAAACAAATTTATATCATGTGAAATCAAAACAATATTTGAAAATATTCCCTCATATAAAATCTGATGCCCTAAGCATCTCCAAGAGACACTTCAAATTTAAAGTTTCCCAAACTTCAAATTTAAAGTTTAGAGGTGTTACACTCCAATGGTAAATTTCAAAAAAAATTTCAAAACTATTTATATTTTGCATTATAGTCCTCAATATTGATAATAATTAATTAACATCATAAAACTTTTATAAATATCTAAAACATACATATAAAAATATTACAACCAATACTAATCAATAAAACATTACATAATAATATAAAATACATAATATACACATATTAAATTATATATTACAAATAAAATATCAAATTATTCAATAAAACTACTTCCATAGTGCTTTCATATATGATTAATTAATGCATTTCAAAGTTATCTTAATATTAGTATTATTGTAGTATTTCAATTTGTGTAATATTTATGTGTTTATGTAATTTATTTTCTTGTATTTTGTATTAAATTTGCTTTATATATAATTGTTGTTGTATAATAAAAAATATTTACAATAATGTGTAATATTTATTTTGAATTTATTTTAAGATTTTTATTTAATCTGTATACAAAAATTAAATATATATATATATATATATATATATATATATATATGAAATACTAAAATTATATGGACTAAAGTGATAAACAACAAAACTAAAATATAATCATTCATATAGTATAAAATTAGAGGGACTGAAATACAAATAAAAATATGAAACTTCAAATTTGAAGTTTTGAAGTTTCTCTTGAAATGCAATAAACTTCATATTTGAAGTTTTGAAATTTCTCTTTGGAGATGCTCTAAACCATTGTTTCTTATTTTAGCGAATAGGCACGGCACACCAAGGTGATTTTGGTCACGTTGTGTTGCTAATAAAATCATATGGCCATATTTATTGTTTCAATCACTTATTTTAACAATGTTACAACCCACAACTTGACTGAGCAATTGGTCTGTAGATGTAGAGCTAAAGATTTATATATTTTTTTGTTCTTTTTTGCAAAGAACGTTTTAATATGCTTTATTGATCAGACTTTTACATGCATTTTGTCCAAGCTTAGGCCCATGAGTAGTTTGAGAGTGAAGGAATCTTTAAGTAAGGAACTGGATTTGTCTGCCTTTTTAGCATATTGACATAGAATCTACTTGTATTTATTCAAGTTCATTATTTGGAAGTTGGAACGTATATAGCTAGCTCTGAATATACATACTATTTTTCTGTTCCACTCACTTTGTTCTAAGAGAAATTAGTTTTTTATCATTAAAACCAATCAACACAACACAGCGTTACTTTAAATTAAATTAATGTTAAAAAAAACTTTAAATTAAATAAAAAGTAAAAAAAAAGTTATTGCATCATTGTTTTTTTTTGTTCAAATAGTTATTGCATCATTGTTATGCTAAAATTGCATCAATGTTATTGCAGGCCAATCTAATGCATGTTATCACCATATAAATTGACAACTAAACAAACTGTGATATCATGATTCAACCATCGGGTTGCAAAGCGAGCAGTTTTAGTATGTGGATGTAGCTCTGCACGGAAATATATAAAGTGAAAGAAAAAAAAACTTGAAGAATTTTAGATATTTCATACGATCAAAAATCCGATAAAAGGTAAACCTTTATACTTTTGTTTTACCGTCATCTTTATTCGATGGAACTTTTATGTAACTTCCATCAAATTTGATACTAAAAGCTGAAATTAAAACTCTAGTTAAAATATACTCCTCTCTATTCTTTTAAAAAGGATGTTTTGAAATATTTTTAGTTATTAAAAAGGTTTTACAAAAGATTGTATTAACCTTATTTTTATTAATTATTATTTAAAATTTTCATTAGATAATAAATACTGAAAGAGTAAATTCAGTAAAAACAATAATAATTACATTTAAATTTTTGAAAACATCCAATTTTTCCCCAAAATATCGAGTATTATTTAGGAACAAATGGAGTAATTCATAAAAATACGAGGCGGCAACTGCTAGAATCCAAGTCTACGGATTAGCACGAAGCTCTGATGTTTCAGATTGCTTCTTTTTGTTTCTTACAGAATCTCACAGTTACAGACATATTAAATTCCCTATAAAAAGGTCCTTAAATTTGGAAAACCGACAAAAACAGAAACTCATTTTCACTCACTCATTCAACTATCGTTTAAGCAAATACTCTTCAGGTTTTTTTTTTCAATTTTTTTGTTTTTTCCACCTCTTCAACACAGAAGAGACTTTAATATTTTTACTGAACTCGTCAAACATTGCTTCTTGTCTCCCCACCGTTTCCAAAGATTTTTGATTTTTCTTTTCGTATGAACAGAAAAAAGAAAACAAAAGAGCAAATACCGAGAACCGAATCTTCCATGTCATCTCTTAAAGCATTTAATGATCTGCATCGAGTCTCACATGCTTATTTTTCTCCGAGGTGCCCAAAGATGTCTGTTCTCTCTTCTTTCTTTTTTATTTCCTCTTTTTAAAATTTTAATTACAGAATTATTTAGCTCTTTCTTATGAATGAATCCAAATTACATTAACAAAAACCACTTCCCAATGTGATAGTTCTAATTCTAAAATATATCTCTCCATTAGCACCTAAACTGTTTATTCCTCCTATATTATAGTGCGGTCTTATTAATTGAGTCCTTTGAAATATATCTCTAATTTTAAGGATGCAACAGTGCAAGAAAAACCATTACATAAAGTCTTTAGAGATTTTGTGTTTCATAAGTTCAAATTGTATTACCACTCGGACTTTGAATAGTTACGGTCTTAATGGGTTTTAATTTCTACCGTTAAAACATATAAAAATTGTTTATTCAAATAGTTTTTAGACTTTAGTTTTCCTCGAAATTTCATCTTTACTATCTCTAAATAAGAACCAAAAGCTGTATTGTTTGGGTTTTAACACTTTAAAACATACTGATACTGTAAAAGCTAAGACTAAAAGTCAAAAATCCATTGAATGTTGGCAATCAGATCGAAATTGTATTATTCAAGTATTAAAAATTCATTAGAAAATATATTCTGATTGACAGGTGTAAAATGCCTACGGTTTTGTAGCCTTAGTTACAAGTTGATTTAGTCACTTACTTTGAACCACTTCAAGATTAATTAAAATATGTTAGCAAACTTTTTATGCATGCTTTTTTAAATAGGAATTGATATCAATTTGGGAAGGCAAACAGACAGTTCTGGATAAATCTTATGCATCATAAATTAATTGTGGATGCCTAACACATCCAAGTTGATGGATATCTGTGAATAAAAACTAGTCATTAATTAACATATACATAAAATATACGTAAAACCATGCTATCAAGCGAATAAGTTTGTAGATATTATTGTGGGCGATGGTCACAAACTAGTCAAATGGTTTTTTCATGCATGTCCCCGGCATTTTGGGGTTAAAAACATTCCTTAGATGCACCACATGAATTTGATATATAATTAAAAATCATAACCACTTTCTAACACTATGGCTTCTAGGGTTATGGAGTATGTTTTTCTTGGTAGATGATATTTTATTTTTTTAACTGAAAAGGTTTAGAATTTTGAATTAAGATTGTCCAGTGGTCAAATCAGGTAAGAGACCAATTTCTGTTGGACGTATATATTTTAGACATTGTGGATCTAATTTATATATATCTGACAATCGCAATATTTTGAAATTAGTATGGACTGATCATCATATTTCGAGAATGAAGCTGTAAATTAATTATATAGTGAGATAGCTTATATTTTGTAAACGTGAAATTATATGATAGAAGGCGCCAAGGAAAGCTACGTACGCGTGTAAAAGAGAAGATTTTCATTTTGGGAAACAGTGGATTAAAAGCTTGGAATCATGTGGTATTCATTTAATGTGATAGTTGAAACTTCTCTTGAGGCTTTGATCAAAAAACCATTTATTTTAAGAATCTCTCCAGACATTAAGTAGGGTTTTCTTAAAAAAAACTCTAATTAGCTTTGTGTCGGATCTCGTTTTGTGAGTCTTGCATTAACTTCCTCTGGATTTATGTTGTTATTTTAATTATATTCAGACTAGGTTTTTTTTAGAGTTAATCCCTCTCGAGATGAATAGTTCGAAAGTGATGCATGCATGTATCTTCGATTTACTCATTAAGTTATGTATTGTATGAGTAATATTGTTGATGATGGCTTCCCAGTTTTGTATTTAAATGAAAAAAAGCTAACAAAAAAATTGTTGATGATATT